TTTTATGCATAATTACCCTTACTTTTTATTATGTTCGAACGTTATCTACTTTCAAATGTTAAAATCAAAGTTCCATGTTGATATAGAGGAGATATGAGATCACTCATAATTGTTGACAACACGTCACTGATATACCTTATATGTATGTATACAAATCATAGAAGAAACTTTATAATATGTTGTATTTACATATTTAGGTTATTGCTGAAAGAAAACTTTATCATGATCGCACTAAGGGTCGATATTTACCAACTTCTGGTAATGACACTTCGGCAGAGGATAATGACACAGAAGTGATAGGAAGTATGTAACGTAATCATATAGTTATATTCTTTAAATCTGTTTAGGGTGTAACATCATAAATTATATTTTAATATAGTTTAAAATCTAAATATAACTTAACTTTTCAACCTAGTCAATATAATATAACAAAACTGTTACGGAAGAATTAGGACATTTAACTAACGAGATATATTTCATTCAGTTCGAAAAAAAAGGTTTGCAATGTTGGATATACTACTAGCAGCATCTCGTGATGGTCTTATGACTGACCTTGATATCAGAGAAGAGGTCGATACTTTTATGGCTGAGGTATATATACATGTAATATTGCTTGTAACTTTCTTAAATATTATTTGGTACATCAAAATTCACAATATAATAGTTTATCGATTTATACATTAACGTACAAAATGTGATTATAGGGTCATGATACTACAGCAACTAGTTTGTGTTTCACTCTAGCATTATTAGCTGAGCATAAGGATATTCAGGTATTTATCAAATGTGTGAAACGTCATCTTTCAAAAATAATAATTCCTACGGTTATTTATTAAAGACGTATCTGTTTAAAATTTCTTAATCGTCTGTTAAGTGTGCACATGTATGTATTGTATTCAATTTGTGTTTCCGCATCAATAGATAGGTAGAAAATCTGTTCGCATGCGCATATACATATACATATACGCTCGTGTACATATCCACACGACGTACTCGCCCATACATTTCAACTCTTCTATTGAAAAGTTTTAAATGTATTTTGTGTACGTATATTTCAAACGAATTAATTAAGTGATGATGTAGAATCGTGTCAGGAATGAAGTCGATACCGCTTTGCAAAAGAATGGGGAGAAATTTACTATGAAATTATTGCAAGAATTACCATATTTAGAGAGATGCATAAAGGAATCATTACGCTTATATCCCAGTGCGCATCTGATATCACGAAACACTGGGGAAGATGTAGAATTATGTATGTATATAACCAATTTTTTACTGTATACATTTTTTTATGCTTTACACAATATCGTCAACTGTGTGAACTAAATATATATAAAATACAGAAATTTCTATTGTAAAGGTTCTAGAATATCTAAATTTTTATTACTAAATCTATTTATATAATATTTCGAAAACGTTTTACATAAAGTTAAATACATACAATACAACACACAAATTTTTTAAAATTAATATTAAGCAAATAATGCTTAAGAATGTTTATTATTTATTAGTCAATTAATTATATTATTTTTTATTGTGTAGCAATATCATCTATTTCCATATTATGTTATAGGTTTATTCTTTAACTTTGTGAATCTTATTGTGTAATATGGTTTTCAGCCTCATATTTAGTACCTGCTGGAACATTCGTGCTTCTTGACATTTACGGAGTCCACAGAGATCCTAATTTTTGGCCAAACCCAGAAGTATTCGATCCCGATAAATTTTTGCCCGAGAAAATCCGAAATCGACATCCTTATTCATACATACCATTCAGTGCGGGACCACGTAACTGTATCGGTAAATTATATTTTTTTATATTCTGTCATATAATAACACGTTATATGAAGAGATTAGTACACATACAAAATTACAGGCCAACGATTTGCTATGCTGGAAATGAAGGCTATGATAGCTTCTCTAATACATAATTTCTACGTCGAGCCTATTGATTATTTAAAGAATATTCAAATTCACGTTGATTTTGTTCTTCGTTCTGCTTCTCCAATTCGTGTAAGATTTGTTCCTGTCCGTGAAACGAATACAAGCCTTTGAAGCAAATAACGGTTTATGAACATAGGTGAAGGTAAAGGTAAGACTCTATTTGCCTACCAAACTATTTTGTAGGTAACGCTAACAGTGTTGTCCGATATATGTAATCTTTAGTTTTATAAGTTTATGGTTTGTATGGCGCGCCTCCTAATTGTAACCAGGATTGAGCAGATGTCGCGCCCGTAAAGGAAGAGCGGCGCTCGCGTTTCCTCTCAAGTCAGTCGCAAGCCAGCTGCTGACACGCAAGCACGTTAATAAAAGCTTATCGATCAAATAAAAGAGTTTTTCATGGTCCTTCGAGCCGGATCCCAGAGATTCGAACTGGGATAAAAAGGGAATACGTCCAGGATCGAGCGACGGCTAGCCTTGGAAGGTCCGAGGTTGGGGAGCGTGGCTCAGTACAAGGAGCTACGCAAGAAAAGGAAGCGGCCGCCGTTCCAGAACGATACGGGGAGCTATCGCTGAGTGACCCGACCACACAAGGAAGGTGCCCTCGTGCAGCAGACGAGGACATTTTGAGTTGGCCACAAGGAAGGTGCCCTCGTGCAGCAGACGAGGCCATTTCGGGCTGACCACAAGGAAGGTGCCCTCGTGCAGCAGACGAGGCCATTTTGAGTTGGCTACAAGAAGGTGCCCTCGTGCAGCAGACGAGGCCATTTTGAGCTGACTACAAGGAAGGTGCCCTCGTGCAGCAGACGAGGCCATTTTGAGTTGGCCACAAGGGAGGTGCCCTCGTGCAGCAGACGAGGCCATTTCGGGCAGACCACAAGGAAGGT